CTGTCGGTAGAAAGGCAGTAGAGCCGTCGGCAGCGTTGTCTGTGCCGTCACGACCGCCAGAACGGCCTTCTTCAGCAGCGCTCTTCTTCTTCAAGCTTGACTCATTTGCAGGGTCCTTTCCGTCGCCCACGCTTGATCCTTCACCGTATGGCATTTTTCCTTCTCCTAGAACACCACGCGACTCTCACGCTCCGCCTTCTGCCCAACCTTCCACGTTCTCTTTGTCTCAGGAGACTTCCGCTGCACGCGCCCGTGGATGATCCATCTTCCATTGAGCTTGTAACCCCATCAACATGAAGTTGAGCTCCTTCTCTGGGAGGTCTTCATAGCGGGCTATCAAGACAGCCTCCTGCGCCTCGAGATCGTCAACCACCTCACGGACATCCGACTCGCCGTCCGTCATATCGACAATCGAGACCTTATGCGAAACCTAACATAGTAGATTCGACCTCTATTGTTCGCGTGTTCGTTCCACGCTCACCGCACCATGCAGAGTTTTCTGTAATAACGGGAGCTTCTGCGGAAGTGCCTGGCGCAGATAGAGCTCTCTAGCTCTATGGTTCTCTAAGGAGAGAGTTGCCTTCAGAATTGTGTGTTTTATAGAGTAGCTTGAGAAAGCTTGGGCACACAAATTCACTAGAATCAAGATTACAAAGTATGGTACACATGTCGTAAAGGTAGGATAGCTAGGACGCCATGACTATGGCGGCGGGGTTTAGCTAGGAGGAAGGCGAGGAGATTGTCGAGAGAAAAGGAGTATCAACTAGAAGAGAAACAGGTACAAGAAGGGGAGTTATCCCCTCTACAGTAGGATGCACTAGCACAACTACCAAGCCTATAATTATATAAAATATAATTTGAACACACCCCCTAGGCTTGGTAGTGGCAAGCCCACTCAACCCACACACACACCCCCTAACCCCGGACCCCCTCATTCTCGTGAGCAGCCGGGTATCGACCCCTCATGCTAGGCGATGATACCCCCGGACGAGAGGCAGCTGGCCGCATTTGGGCGGCCTCAATGACGACAGCGGCGGAGCTCGTGCTCAAGGCAGCTGCGGTGATGAGGACAGGCGGCGACTGCGATGGATGAGGGCTCTCGGCGGTGTGGCACGACCTGGCGATGACCGAGCCGAAGACAACAGCTGCGGCAGGAGGGAGAGGGGACCCAAGGAGAAGGGGTGGTGTAGAGGAGAGGGCGCTGGCTGGCATGTGGGCGGCGGCAGCGTCACCGACGTCGCACGGTCGGCTGCAGCCCGACGGCGCCGTCAACGAGCGGCGTCGATGCTGCACGACGTAACGTTGACGCCGCGACGCCAGTACGGTGGCGCTGTCATGCCGCGACGGCCCGACGTCGACGGCGTCGCCACCATGAGGCCGCCGCGGCATCTCAGATAAGGTGCCACGGCGGCAGGCAATCTGAAGGTTGCGAAGGCGGCGAAGTAACACAGAATACGCAGCGGAAGAGTAGTGAGCAGGCCCGAACGGGCGGCCTGCTCTGATCCTATGTCGTGAAGGTAGGATAGCTAGGACGCCATGCCTATGGCGGCGGGGTTTAGCTAGGAGGAAGGCGAGGAGAATGTCGAGAGAAAAGGAGTATCAACTAGAAGAGAAACAGGTACAAGAAGGGGAGATATCCCCTCTACAGTAGGATGCAGTAGCACGACTACCAAGCCTATAATTATATTAAATATAATTTGAACAACACAAGGCAAACACTAATACTACCTTATTGAACCTCATTGAACACGGAGAGAACGTTCGCACGGGAACGTTTACATAACTACTCTAAGCTGCGCTTAGCCAAGTCAGCAATGGCAAGTAAAAATTACAGCACATGCTTAGTTTGTAATTCTACCCTCTCATAAGTAGTTGTTTTAACAGTTTCAGACATGAATCTGTCAGATGCTATGCACATTTCCGCAGTTACGAAATGTGTGTCACGTGTTCAATTTCTCAATATCGCAGGTAGATTTTGCCGTTTTCGGTCCAGATCGGCTCAGTGGTTAACTTACGAAATCGCAAATTTCTCGCGATTTCGGAGCGTTACCTCCATCAGAAAACTAAGTCCCCGGTTTTCTGTCGAAGGGGTCGCTCGCATAAGCGAAGTCCGCGATGACTCTCTGCCGCGCTTCTGCCGAATTTTGTCTCTGCCGAGGGGGTCGACAACAGAAGAGATATCCGAATTGCCTTTCTGCCGAACTTCGGTAGAACGCAATTTTGCGCGAGCAGGTCCTTGCGCCACTCTGCCCAAGGTTCTGTTGGAACGCGTTTCCGAGAGTCGATTCTGCCGAAAGGGTCGCCTGCAGAATTGTCTTCTGTGCGATACTTCGGCAGAAGACAAACCTTCTGCGAATGGCCCCTGGTGCCAATTCGCTACACTCTCGATTATGCCGAGACCGCTTCTACAAAAGCTCATGTTGATGTAGATGCCATATACAGAAAAAGCGCTCTTGTTCTGCCACTCCGACAGAACCGCTTTTCTGCCAACAACGAAAATTGCTTCTCTGTCACTTCCGCAGAGCCTCGCCTTGTCGACAAATCTGCTCTTCATCGATGGGACTTTCTGCAGGGCTCGTGTCCGCAGACTTTGTTGATGTGCCGCTTCATAGAATTCTTCAACCTTCGTAGGATCAGGGCTATTCTCAACAGCAGCAGTCGTCGCTGGTGTCCGCCCTTTGCCTGCTCGGACTTCCCTCCCCTGACCGCTCGCCTGCAACTCCCTCGCCGTCTCCCCTTCTTCCTGTTCACGGTCCTGTGTTTCCTCCGCCGTACTCGTCCCCTGCTCGTTTCCCCTCTCGTTCCCCTCCTGTTACTCCTCCGCTATCTCCTGACCCGACGCCTCCGTCTCACGTTTGGTCTCTCCGTCCCTCTCGTGTTCATCCTGTCTCTCGTGTTCAGCGTTCTCACCCTATGTTGCTTCGTTCCCACGCGTCTCGTCCTCCCCACCAGCCTTCGCCTCCTCCATCGTCGCTCACTGTCGCGCCTCCCCCTCTGTCTGAATACCTTCGTGTTGCTTGTCCTCTTGCTCCTCGGGTCCTTGCCTCCCTCGTTACCGACCCGTCTGTTCCCTGACTTTGCCTCTACTCGATGCCTTGACTTTGCTACCGTTCAGGTCTCTGACCCTGTCTCTCCTCCGTCCGTCGGGGGTGCTCCTGCCCTCGGTAGTGACGTCTTGGAGGACCGGCAGTACGAGCTTGCTTTCCTATCCGAGGCTGCTCCCCATCTCTGTTCCATGCTGCTAGTCCCTGAGGGTGACCCTGACGCCTTTGACATCCCAACCCCTCGCACCTACGCTGAGGCGACCTCGGGACCCTGGGCCTCTCAGTGGATAGATGCCATGGAGCAGGAGATGGCATCTTGGAGGGCTACCAGCACCTACGTCGACGCAGTTCCCCCACCTGGGGTGAACGTAGTCGATGGCCGGTGGCTCTTCAAGGTGAAGCGCACCCCTCGAAAGCCGCCTGTGTTCAAGGTGCGCTACGTGGCTAAAGGTTTCAGTCAGCGAGAGGGGGTGGACTTCTTTCAGACCTTCGCCCCGACCCCAAAGATGACTTCTCTTCACGCGCTGCTACACGTAGCAGTACAGCGTGACTACGAGCTTCACTCTCTTGACTTCTCCACTGCTTTCCTTCAGGGCAGCCTACACAACCAGGTTGTCACAGGGTCAAATGTGTCGAGGAAAGGTTGCACTATCGATCAGTACAAGGTGCTTTTATACTTCCAAAGTACATCACGTAACCAGGTTTATCCTATCCCAAGAGAATAGACTCTTCTAGAAAATAGAATCACCCTGCATATAGCCACGCGAGGCTATTGGCTTTAAGGGATTACAGCAGGATTACGCTAGATATAGCGCGCCAGTACACCCTGAGCCTAGTCGGTAAATAATGATAAAACAGGATAAACCAAAGGTTATGGAAAAGGAGAAATAGGAATCTAAATGGATCAGGATAAAAAGAGGAATGAAATGGAAAGGGAATATGGAAAGGAGAAAGGAATGGAACCGGGTCGTACTCTCACACTTCCCCCCCTCAAAGCTGGGTGGTAGACGTAACACCGTGCCTAACAAGGTAGTCGCGAAGAGGACGACGACCGTGATCCATCTCGGATTCAGAGACCAGGCTATCCTCTGAAGGATCATAACCCTTCCAACGGATGAGAAGCTCCACGGTGCCATTCCGTCGACGGCGGTGAGCAAGCATGGACTCGACCTCGTACTCGGGTTCATCATGGATGAGGACGGGCGGCGGCGGCGGCGGCGGTTGGCGTCCAGAGAAGACTGTGTTGGGATCTCGGTAGGGGTTCAAGAGTTGGACATGAAAGACGTTGTGAATCTTCCAGGTAGCTGGCAGGCATAAGCGGAAGGTAACAGGAGTGACCTGCGCTTCAACGAGAAAAGGCCCGCAGAAGCGAGGTCGCAGTTTGGAAGGGAGATGGTTGATGTCAAGATTGCGTGTGTCGAGTAGTACTCGGTCTCCCATGGTGATGGTGTGGTCTTTGCGGTGGCGATCGGCTTGGCGCTTCTATTGTTGCTAAATGTCGAGAAGGCGCTTGTGGGTCCGATCCCAAAGTTTGTGCATAGTCATGATGAAATCATGAGCGGGTTGGACTGTGACTGGTATGGTTGGCTGTTGAGGTGTGAGTGGGTGGCGTCCGTAACAGAGGAAGAACGGCGTCTGTCCAATAGCGGTGTGAGTAGCATTGTTGTAGGCAAACTCCAGGACGGGGAGATGCAGGTCCCATTTGGAGATTTCATCTTTGCAGGCTGAGTGGAGGAGTTGCTCCACAATTTGGTTGAGGCGCTCGGTCTGTCCATCTGTCTGCGGATGGTAGGCGGATGACATGGGGAGTTTGGTCCTGAGTGGAGACATCAGTTCTTTCCAGAATTTACTGGTGAACTTAGGGTCTCGGTCGGAGATGAGTGTGGTTGGAATGCCATGTTGTGAGTGTTGTGTGATGTCATCATATGTTATCACATTCTGTCTGCCTCCCATCCCTTGTTTCAATTCGCACGTATGGTTTGACTGTGTGTGAAAGAATTTGTGTGGTGTGTTCTGGAGTTTGGGAATGTGTTTTGTGTTATTCTGTCTGAGCAGGTATTTGTGATAATAGATCTTGAGAAGATCTTTCCGACGCAACAAGAATCGCTTCAATCGGAGCAAGAACGCGAAAGCTATGAAGATTCAAAGTTCATGAGCTTGCGTTACAATTGCGGCGGTTACTAAGTGAAGTTGTGGGGTGACTTTATATGGAGTTGGGACCTTTGGGGTTGGGGAAACTTGTCACTCTACTGTAACAGCTGCAAATTGGTTGGGAACAACCAAGCTAGGTTGGCAAGGGTGGCCAACTTGGATGGATTGGTTGGGAAGGGACAAATGTCAAAGTTGGGGTTCCTATAGGGAGGGAATCTTTGTGCTTATGGGGTTTCCTTGGTTGGGGACTCTCTTGGGACCTTCCCTCTCATCCCTCTCTTCTATCCCAACCTTTCTCTTGCTCCTTCTAATTCCTTGTGAGATTCTTGAACTTTGATTGAACTCTTGAGATTGAGTTAAGTTCTCCTCCTACAGCTTACCCCCTAGTGCGTCGAAAGCCATAGCGTCGCGAATACTTCATCAATCAACGTGATTCAAATTGGGAACGGTAGCTGAGATTAAGAGCTACAACATATCCAAGTTTCGCGACATTCCAACGGCTAGGTTTTTGTCGACGTCGTTTCTTGTGAAGACGACTTTTCTGTCCAGAATTTCGGATTTATATTTTGAGTAATTCTAGCTCCTAAGTTCACCTAGACTCTGTCCTTAATCCTAACAGTGAGATGATGTAGCGAGCAACGGGAATGTCGAGGTCGATGGTGTACCCATGTGTGAAGAGTCCCTTGAGGAGTGGATTCATCCCTTCAACCTGGATCGCGACAATGTGTGCAGGCCAGCAAAGCGCATCGGTTTTGTTTTTATGGCCAGGCTTGTACACGATGTCGTAGTGGAAGTGCGTCTCCGGGAAGTCGATCCAACGAACCTGTCGCATGGAGAGGCTTGGTTGCGTCTTCAAATATTTTAGGCTCCAATGGTCGGTGTAGACTGTCGTTTTGCGTCCTTCGAGATAGCATCGCCATGTTTTGAAGGCGAATATAATAGCAAGGGCCTCCTTGTCGTGTATCGGGTAGTTGAGTTCTGCTCCATGTAATTTTCTGCTGAGGTAGGCAATTGGTTGTAGTCCATTCCCCTGGTCTTGCATCAAGACTGCTCCCACCGCCTGGTCGTTGGCGTCAGCTTCGATGACGTAGTCGCGTTCGGGGTCTGGCAAGATGAGTACTGGTGCGGACGTGAGTGCTTGCTTCAGCTGCTCCATGGCTTCCTGGTGTTGTGGCTCCCATTTATAGGGCGTCTTCTTCTTCAGCAGATTCGTGAGTGGCGCGGTGACTTTCGCGTATTGTGGCACGAACTTGTTATAGTAGTTACCGAAGCCAAGGATCTGCTGTAACTCCTTCACATTCTCGGGTGTCTTCCACGTATGCATGGCTTCGATTTTCTTGGGGTCGACATGAACTCCTTGAGCGCTTACGATATGTCCGAGGAATTGGACTTTCTGGAGGGCGAAGTCGCTCTTGGATAGTTTGACATAGAAGCGTTCTCGTCGAAGAATCTCGAAGACGCGTTGTACGTGCTCGACGTGTTGCTGCATGTCGCGCAAGTAGACGAGAATGTCGTCCAGGTACACCACCACGCATTCGTCCAAGAGTGGGCATAGGATGTGATTCATCTCTTCTTGGAACGTTCCTGGTGCGTTGGTGAGTCCGAACGGCATTACCAGGTCTTCGTACGATCCGTACCGAGTTCAGAAAGCAGTTTTGTGAACAAACTCGTCCGCCATTCGTATATGCCAGTAACCGGACCGCAGATCTAGTTTTGAAAATACCGTGGCTCCGCGAAGCTGGTCAAGCAGGTCATCGATTCGTGGAATCGGGTATTTGTTCTTGATGGTCTGCTTGTTGAGAGCTCAGTAGTCGATGCACATGCGTTGTGTTACAGAATCGAATGTGTCGAGGAAAGGTTGCACTATCGATGAGTACAAGGCGCTTTTATACTTCCAAAGTACATCAGGTAACCAGGTTTATCTTATCACAAGGGAATAGACCCTTCTAGAAGATAGAATCACCCTGCGTATAGCCACGCGAGGCTATTGGCTTTAAGGGATTACGGCAGGATTACGCTAGATATAGCACACTAGTACATCCCGAGCCTGGTCGGTGATATAATGATAATAATAGGATAAACCAAAGGTTTATGGAAAAGGAGAAATAGGAATCCAAATGGAATGAGATAAAAACCAAATGGATCAAGATGGAAAGAGGAATGAAATGGAAAGGAGAAAGGAATGGAACGGGGTTGTACTCTCACACTTCCCCCCCTCAAAGCTGGGTGGTAGACGTAACACCGTGCTCGACAAGGTAGTCGCGCAGAGGGCGACGAGCGTGATCCATCTCGGATTCAGAGACCCAACTATCCTCTGAAGGATCATAACCCTTCCAACGGATGAGAAGCTCCACGGTACCATTCCGTCGACGGTGGTGAGCAAGCATGGACTCGACCTCGTACTCGGGATCATCATGGACAAGGACGGGCTGCGGCGGCGGCAGTTGGCGTCTAGAGAAGACCGGTTGGGATCTCGGTAGGGTTTCAAGAGTTGGACATGGAAGGCGTTGTGAATCTTCCAGGTAGCTGGCAGGCGTAAGCGGAAGGAAACAGGAGTGACCTGTGCTTCAACGAGAAATGGCCCGCAGAACCGAGGTCGCAATTTGGATGGGAGATGGCTGATGTCAAGATTGCGTTTGTCGAGTAGTACTCGGGCTCCCACGGTGATGGTGTGGTCTGTGCGGTGGCGATCGGCTTGGCGCTTCTGTTGTTGCTGAATGTCGAGAAGGCGCTTGTGGGTCCGATCCCAAAGTTTGTGCATGGTCGTAATGAAATCATGAGCGGGTTGGACTGTGGCTGGTATGGTTGGTTGTTGAGGTGTGAGTGGGTGGCGTCGGTAACAGAGGAAGAACGCCTTCTGTCCAGTAGCGGCGTGAGTAGCATTGTTGTAGGCAAACTCCAGGACGGGCAGATGCAAGTCCCATTTGGAGATGTCGTCCTTGCAGGCTGTGCGGAGGAGTTGCTCCACAATTTGGTTGAGGCGCTCGGTCTGTCCATCTGTCTGCGGATGGTAGGCGGATGACATGGGGAGTTTGGTCCCGAGTGGAGACATCAGTTCTTTCCAGAATTTACTGGTGAACTTAGGGTCTCGGTCGGAGATGAGTGTGGTTGGAATGCCATGTTGTGAGATGATGTAGCGAACAAAGAGTTGTGCCATCTCCTCGGTGCGTGCTGTGGTGTGTGTTGGGATGAAGTGTCCCATTTTGGAGAACTTGTCAATGACGATGAGGATCGCGTTGATAAATGTGTAGTGTTCTGTGGTGTAGTTAGCTCTAGCTGGTTGTGGGCTATTGGGATTTGGGCAAAAGAACTTGGGTTGGTTAGCAAGGTTTGAACTCGTTACCTTTTCAACCCATACAACCTCAAACCCACTACAACATCTTTGATGTTGCTGTTGCGGCACTTGAGAGTCTTGTGGTTTGGTCTGGGGCAAGGGTTGGTGGTGTTTGACAATCACATACTCGAACTTTTCCAGATTGAACTGCTTCCCTTCTCGTTTTTACTAGGTGATTCATGGCTGCCTAGCCAAATTACCAGAATATCCCCTCACACTGATTTCGTCATAATTGGCGGCTCAGATCTTGGTTATGAACATGCTTTACCATTCTGGAAATTAGAGATTAGGACCTTTCCAACGCATATAAGCTCATTTCTAGAAGTTACCTGAGCTGCACGCAATGTTCCGTTGAGGTCGTCAGACTTAATCTCTTATTAGTTCTCTCCAGATTTGCATGATTTCCATCAGTGGTATCAGAGCCAAGGTTAGAGGACGTTCTTTCCTCCATTGGAAGAGATCTAGAGAGGCTTGAAGTGCTCCGGATCTAGGGTTTGACATGGCCCAAAAGTTGGATGGCCCTCCTAGGTTTACCGGCTCGGACTTTTCGCTATGGAGGTTCCAGTTCACACTATGGCTAGGTATTAAGGACCTAGAAAGTGTGTTGGATGGATAGGAGAAGCGACCACGAGCTAACTCTGGGGAGGCGTCTACTGGAGCAACCAGCCAAGTGGGATCCGGGGCTGGGGGAGCGTCATTGAGTGGGGGGGATGAAGGAGGAACCGCTGCAACTCGAACCGGAAGGTCGCAACCAAGTCGCGAGGAGTTGCTCAAACCTCAAGAAGCATGGGATCGGAAGGATCGCCAGGCATTTCAGTACCTGTGTTGGGCTTTGGAGGGGCAACTTGAGCTTCTTAAGATGCTGATTGACCTGAAGGGGAAGGAAGGTGCAGCAGCTGTAGCTTGGAAAGGAGTGCAAGATAGGCACTTGCAGAAAGGGCTTCTAAGCGTGCTTACTTGGCGGAAGCGGTTTTACACCATGGAGCGGAACTATGGGGAGGGGGAGACCATGGTTCAGTATCTCCAGAGGGTAGATGAGAATGTGAGGGCTTTGGAGGAGCTGGATTACACGGTAGATGAGAAGGAGATCATCTATACAACACTCCAAGGGTTGGATCAAGCGGCTAATGAGGCATTACTACAGTACCTTCACCTCGAGCAACAGAAATGGACCAAGGTGTGGATTTGGGAGGTTCTAATTTCTGATGAGGCTCGCAAGGTTGATGCTGGAAGAGGCCTAGAAGGAGGCATGGGTGCAGCAGATAAATCTTCCTTCAGGAAAGGCTATCAACAGCAAGGAGGTGGGGGGAAGAAGAAAGAGTTGGACAAATGCCTTGTGCCCGGATGCAACAAAAAAAACTCTTGGAAGAGTTACTGGAGTAGGCCTGAGGGATGGAAGCCTCACGGCTACTCTGGAGAGGCCCCACCAGTGACCAAACCTGATTGGGTGGAGAAAAGGATGAAGAAGGGGCTCTGGAATAAGAAGGGCAGCAAGGGAGCAACGGCCGCAGCTGCTAAGGATGAGAAGTGGAAGGGCCAAGAGGACTCCTCCGATGATGGTTTCTCGTTTCTCATGCTAGGGCAGGATGCAGCTCTCGCTGGTCGTGCATTGGCTGACCCCAACTTCCTGGTTCTAGACTCTGGAGCAACATCTGGGATGCTTCCTCGCCGTGATCTCTTCACCTCCTACCATCCTCTCCCACCAAACTCTAGGAGCGTGATTGTTGGGAGTGGAGATTTGCTACAGGCAATTGGCATCGGCACGATCACCATTAAGGGGAAGGAGGGGGAGCTAGTGGGTGTGAAGGGGGTCCTTCACGTCCCTGGTTTGGCTGCAAACCTCCTTTCATGCTCGCAGCTGGCTAAACAGGGATACATCTGCACTTTCACTGAGGGAGGGTGCACTGTTAGAAAGGGTGAAGTTGTGGTGATGGAGGCAAAGCTGGACAAGGGTTTATACCTTGTTCCAGCTTGTGTGCCTAATTTTTACAAGGCACATATGGTTTTTTCTGAGGAAGCCGCTTGTAGCACTCGCTGGAGGCAGGTGGAAACGGTGTCACCTGAGTTGCTACACCTTCGCATGGGGCACGCGGGGAAGCAGGAACTACTGGAGTGTGTGAAGAAGGGGGAGCTGAACGGAGTGGAGGTCAAGGAAGGAGCTGGGCAGCAGAGAAAATGTCCTGAATGCACATCTGGAAAGCTGCCTAGAACCTCATTCCCTATCTCCTCTGATCATGCCTCGACTCCCCTTGAGCTTGTGCACACGGATGTGTGTGGACCGATGCAAACTCCTGACCGGGAAAAGGGCAGCAGGTACTTTGTCACCTTTCTTGATGACTTCAGTCAACTTAGCTGGGTCATCTTGGTGAAGACCAAGGATGAGGTGGCAAAGGTGTTTAAGCAGTGGATACGCTATATGGAGAGGGAGTCAGGGGCCAAGATAAAGGTGTTAAGGTCAGATCAGGGTGGAGAGTACCTTGGGAAAGAACTTCAAATCTTCTTGGAAGAAAAGGGTATTTCCCACCAGCTCTCTGAACCTTACACGCCGCAGCAAAATGGGGCAGCGGAGCGGCTTAACAGGACCTTGACCGATTTGGCTCGGGCCTTCCTTGCCCATGCCGAGCTTGATGACACTTGGTGGGGGGCAGCAGTGCAGTATGCCAACTGGGTGAAGAACAGGATGGGCAGCAAGGGGCTTGGAGGCAAGAGCCCATACTCCTTATGGACAGGGAAGGTGCCGAATGTTTCCATGGCACGATTGTGGGGGTGCATGGCACAGTATAAGGTACCTGACCAGCAAAGGAGGAAGCTAGATCCTAAGGCACAGTGGGGGATCTTCCTTGCGGTTTCTAAGAGGAGCAAGGCTTGGGTGCTATAGAGTGTAGCTGAGCAGCGTGTGATGGAGAGCCGTGATGTGATTTTCCATGAGGGGCTGAATTATAAGGGGTGGAAGGAGCGTGGTGCAAGCCATAGTGGGACTTCCATTCAAGACCCTCATACGGCCTCTATCTTTGAGGGGTCATGGGAGGACCCTGGAGATGAAGGGGAGGAGCAGCAGGAGGAGCCAGAACCAGCTGATTCTAACCATGAGGAGTCCCGAGAGACAGATTCTACCCCTCAGCCAGCCACGCAGGCCGATGCGCATGATGATCAGCCGGAGCAGCATGTGCCTTCAACTCCATCGAGAAGCAGTTGGCAGCAGTTGTTGAACCAGCAGCTGTCCAAGTCTCCGAAGACTCCAATGAAGAGGGTGACTTGGGAGGAGAAGCTGCGGAGGCTGGAAGAAGGGGAGGCAACACCTCTGCGACGCAGTGCTCGAATTTCCCTGCCACCTGAAAGGTTTACCCGAGGCACATTGCACTCATGCATGATCATCTTGTGTCTGATTTGGATGATTGCATGCTTGTGGACATGCATGGGCATGAGTATGCTCTTGATGTGTGTCTAATGGGTCAGGTGCATTAGCCTAGGTCAGCCCACGAGGCGCTGAACCGTCATGAGTGGGTTGAGTCCATGCATGAGGAGCTTGAGTCTCACAAGGTAAATGGATCATTTGAGCTGGTTGATCCAGCAGTGGTACCACCTGGTTTGGAGGTCCTCAGGTGTCAATGGGTTTGGAAATACAAACATAACCGTAATGGTACCGTTGAGAGGCCTAAGTCCAGATTGGTGGTGATGGGAAACATGCAGAAATTGGGAGTACACTATGAAGAAGTGTACTCTCAAGTTGGGAAGCATGCGACCTTGAGAGGTATGCTTGGAATTTCGGCTGCTTTGGGGCTTGATATCCATCATATGGATGTCAAGACAGCCTTCCTCCATTGGGATTTGGAAGAAGAGCTTTGCATGCGGCAGCCCCCTGGTTTTGATGATGGGTCTAACCGAGTGTGTCGCCTCAAAAGGTCCATTTATGGGCTGAAGCAAGCCCCACGACAGTGGTACCTGAAATTTGATGAGGCTCTCATGGATTTTGAGTTTGAGAGATCTGAGTGTGACCCTGCCTTGTACCACTTTGTGAGAGATGAGGAGAGGATCTCCTTATTCCTCTATGTGGATGACCTTTTGCTCCTATGCTCTAGTACGGCTTTGCTAGATCGAGTGAAAGACTTCTTGTCCTCGCGTTTTCGCATGAAGGACTTGGGGGAGGTGAAGTACTACTTGGGAATGCAAATTGAGCGTGATGAGAGTGGTATCTTGATTCATCAAGAGAGGTACATTCTTAACATGCTTCAGTCCTTTGGTCTTTCAGAGGCCAACCCCGTGCGTACTCCTCTCCCGACAGGCTTTGATGTGCATGCCTATGAGGATGAACCTTTGCTGCGAGATGAGCTGGTCAAGCTCTACCAAAGCATTGTGGGATCCCTCATGTATGCTTGTACTACCACACAGCCACAGATTGCATTCGCAGTCTCATAGCAATCTAAGGTCGCCTCTTGTCCTAAAATGTTCCACTTGCAGGCCGCTAAGAGAGTGCTGTGGTACCTGAAAGGTGGTGTCAAGTCAGGTATCTTCTTCCAAACACAGCCCCAATCTCAGGTCCAGCTGGTTGGCTTCAGTGATGCCGACTATGCTGGAGATTCTGCAAGTCGCAAGAGCCACAGTGGGTATGTGTTCTATCTGAATGGGGCAGCTATCTCTTGGCAGAGCAAGAGGCAGCCCGTGGTGGCACTCTCTACTACTGAGAGTGAGTACATAAGTCTGTGTCAGTGCATTCAGGAGGGTGTGTGGCTGAGGCGTTTGTTTGGGGAGTTTGGCAATGCTCATGCTGGTGGTGTGCCTGTGTTTGTGGACAATCAGTCTGCCATTGCCCTCGCACAGAATGCATGCTTGCATGGCCGCACCAAACACATGCAGGTCTGGTGGCATTTCATTCGGGAGATGGTGGCTGCGGGAGAGGTAATTTTGCAGTGGTGCCCCACCAACCGTCAAGCTGCTGATATCCTTACCAAGTCTCTTCCATTTGAGCGCCATGGTGTGTGCATGACCTTGCTTGGGATGCAGCCCCATGATGACAGGGTTCCCGCAGCAGATGCCGGCGTCTTGGTGCTCCTCTCCTTGGCAGACTCCATGCTCTGGGTGGCCCCAACCCATGGGCAAGGGGGAGTGGTGTGAAGTCTTTTGCCCTATGGTGTTGAGCCACACCCAGCACGAGCAAGGGGGAGTGATAAATATGTAGTGTTCTGTGGTCCATTTTGCTCTATCTGGTTGTGGGCTATTGGGATTTGGGCAAAAGAAATTGGGTTGGTTGGCAAGGTTGAACTCGTTACCTTTCCAACCCATACAACCTCAAACCCACTTCAACATCTTTGATGTTGCAATCGCGGAACTTGAGAGTATTGCGGTTTGGTCTGGGGCAAGGGTTGGTGGTGATTGACAATCACATACTCGAACTTTTCCAAATTGAACTGCTTCCCTTCTCGTTTTTACTAGGTGATTCATGGCTGCCTAGCCAAATTACCAGAATATCCCCTCACACTGATTTCGTCATAAATTGGCGGCTCAGCTCTTGGTTATGAACGTGCTTTACCATTCTGGAAAGTAGAGATTAAGACCTTTCCAACGCGTATAAGCTCATTTCTAGAAGTTACCTGAGCTGCACGCAATGTTCCGTTGAGGTCGTCAGACTTAATCTCTAATTAGTTCTCTCCAGATTTGCACGATTTCCATCACGCGTCATGTCCGCTCGTGGTAGTTGGTAGCCCGGTGATGAAGTCTAGGCTGACCACTTGCCATGGCTGTTCTAGGACAGGAAGAGGCTGTAGCAGACCCGCCTTTTTCTGCTTGCTGCTCTTCATCCGCTTACATGTAGTGCACGAGGTGACAAATTTCTGTACGTCATCTGCCATGTGGGGCCAGTAGTAGTGATTGGCGATACTGGTGAGCGTCTTGTTGCTACCGAAGTGTCCCGCATACAGGAGGTTGTGGTATTCTTCGAGTAGTAACTGGCGCAATGGAGGGTAATTAGGTACCCAGATCTCCATTGATCCTTTCCGGTACGCGATGTTGTTGTCCCACTGTAGCAGATGTCACTTTTCTGCCAACGGAATTTCTGGGTCGATGGTATACCCATGTATAAAGAGTCCCTTTAGGAGTTGATTCATCCCTTCAATTTGGATGGCGGCAACGTGTGCAGGTCGGCTAAGTGTGTCTGCTTTGTTTTTGTGGCCGAGCTTGTACACGATGTCGTAGTGGAAGTGTGTCTCGAGGAAGTCAATCCCCCGGACCTGCCGCCTGGAGAGGCTTGGTTGCGTCTTCAAATATTTCAAGCTGCAATGGTCGGTGTAGACTGTCGTCTTGCGTCCTTGAAGATAACATCTCCACGTTTTGAAGGCGATGATGATAGCAAGGGTCTCCTTGTCGTGTATCGGGTAGTTCAGTTCTACTCCATATAATTTTCTGCTGAGGTAGGCAATTGGTTGCAGGCCATTCCCCTGGTCTTGCATCAAGACTGCTCCCACTGCCAGGTTGCTGGCGTCAGCTTCGATAACGTAGTCGCGTTCGAGGTCTGGCAAGATGAGTACGGGTGCGGACGTGAGAGCTTGTTTCAGCTGCTCCACGGCTTCCTGGTGTTGTAACTCCCATTTATAGTGCGTGTTCTTCTTTAGCATATTCGTGAGTGGCGTGGCAATCTTTGCGTATTATGGCACGAACTTGTTGTAGTAGTTAGCGAAGCCAAGGAACTACTGTAACTTCTTCACGTTCTTGGGTGTCTTCCACGTACGCACGGCTTCGATTTTCTTGGGGTCGACGTGAACTCCTTGAGCGCTTACGATATGTCCGAGGAATTGGACCTACTCGAGGGCGAAGTCGCTCTTTGATAGTTTGATGTAGAAGCGTTCTCGTCAAAGAATTTCGAAGATGCGTCGTAGGTGCTCGACGTGTTGTTGCATGTCGTGCGAGTAGATGAGGATGTCGTCCAGGTACACCACTACGCATTCGTCCAAGAGTGGGCATAGGATATGATTCATCTCTGCTTGGAATGTTGCAGGTGTGTTGGTGAGTCCGAACGGCATGACCAAATACTCGTACGATCCGTACCGAGTTCGGAAGGCAGTTTTGTGAATGGAATCGTCCGCCATTCTTATCTGCCAGTATCCGGACCGCAGATCTAGTTTTGAAAATACCGTAGCTCCCCGAAGCTGGTCAAGCACGTCATCGATTCGTGGTATCGGATATTTGTTCTTGATGGTCTGCTTGTTGAGAGCTCGGTAGTCGATGCACATGCACAGGCTTCCGTCCGGTTTTGGTGTGAAGAGTACTGGGGCACCGTATGGCGAAGTGGATGGTCGGATGAGTCCTTTGGCGAGGAGATACTCGATTTGCTTCTTCATGTCGGCTAGATCTGTAGGGCTTAGCCGATATGGTGCTCGGTGTTAGGATTAAGGACAGAGTCTAGGTGAACTTAGGAGCTAGAATTACTCAAAATATAAATCCGAAATTCTGGACAGAAAAGTCGTCTTCACAAGAAACGACGTCGACAAAACACTAGCCGTTGGAATGTCGCGAAACTTGGATATGTTGTAGCTCTTGATCTCAGCTACCGTTCCCAATTTGAATCACGTTGATTGATGAAGTATTCGCGACGCTATGGCTTTCGACGCACTAGGGGGTAAGCTGTAGGAGGAGAACTTAACTCAATCTCAAGAGTTCAATCAAAGTTCAAGAATCTCACAAGGAATTTGAGGAGCAAGAGAAAGGTTGGGATAGAAAGAGAGGGACGAGAGGGAAGGTCCCAAGAGAGTCCCCAACCAAGGAAACCCCATAAGCACAAAGATTCCCTCCCTATAGGAACCTCAACTTTGACCTTTGTCCCTTCCCAACCAATCCATCCAAGTTGGCCACCCTTGCCAACCTAGCTTGGTTGTTCCCAACCAATTTGCAGCTGTTACAGTAGAGTGACAAATTTCCCCAACCCCAAAGGTCCCAACTCCATATAGAGTCACCCCACAACTTCACTTTGTAACCGCCGCAATTGTAACGCAAGCTCATGAACTTTGAATCTTCATAGCTTTCGCGTTCTTGCTCCGATTGAAGCGATTCTTGTTGCGTCGGAAAGATCTTCTCAAGATCTATCATCAAAATACCTGCTCAAACAAAAATAACACAGAACACATTCCCAAACTCCAGAACACACCACACACAAATTCTTTCACATTCAAACCACACATGCAAGTTGAAAACATGGGATGGGAGGCAGACAGAATGTGATAGCATATGATGACATCACACAACAATCTCCCCCTCTGGCTGCCAACCATCATCGACCATACCACATCTCAAGCATGCATACTCAATGCACACTCATCCCAGCAAGCTTCATGCCCTTCCAATGATCCGCCTCCGCCAGACGCTTAGTGAAAATATCTGCTGCCTGCTGATGGGTCTTCACTATCTCCAGCCGCACCTCCTTATCAAGGATTCTCCTCACCCAATGCCACTTAGGCCTTATGTGTTTTGTCAGCCCATGCAGACAAGCATTCTTGGCGAGCTTCACAGCGGACTCATTGTCACAAAACACAACTGTCGGCTTCTCCTGACCAACTCCCAACTCCTCCAACAAACGCCTTAGCCACACTACTTCCTTGGCCCCATGGTGTAAGGCCATGTACTCAGGGATTGGTGCCCAGTAGCAGTGAGCGATCTCATCTTCCTCAATCTGCTCAACCACACTCCCAGCCTGCACCACATTCGGCTTGCCTCTTCCCCCATAGGTCAGCCTCACAGGAGGGCGCACATCCCTCCTAGGACGCTCAGGCGGGTGTGGAACTCGAGGTGGAGATTCATGCTGCTGCTGCTGCTCCACCTCAGCTGCTCCCCCTTCCTCAGTCACCCCAGACATCTCCTCCTCTGACACTGCAACCTCCACCTGTCTTGAAGGCTGCTGCAACTCATCTGCCTCCACAATGAGTGGTGTAGATGGAAGCTTCTGTTGCTGCTGCTTCCATTCCTTATAGTACAGGGACTCAAGAAACTTCACATCCCTTGACACTGTCAGCTTCTGGGTGGTCAGGTCCCATAGCAGCCACCCCTTGTGATCCTTTGCAATCCCCAAGTGCACACCCCATCTTCCAGAAGCCTCCAACTTCCCCCTTTTCTCCTTGGGCACATGAAACACCACCATGCACCCAAATGCCCTCAGCATGTTCACCGCTGGAGCACTCCCATACCACTTGGCATATGGGATCCACTCCTTATCTCCAACTGTAGCCAGCACCCTATTCTTCACAAGGGCGACCTGCCTCAGTGCAGACACCCAAAACGGATCAGGCAGCCCTGCACGCCCAAGGAGAGTGCGTGCCCCCTCCTGCAGGGTCCTGTTGAACCTCTCAGCCACGCCATTCTGCTGCGGGTTGTAGGGCACTGTCAGTTGATGCTGGATCCCCTTCCTCTTCAACTCCCCCTCAAAATCAGCTCCAATGAACTCCCCACCATTGTCACTGCGGATCACCTTCACCTTGTGTCCGCATTCCCTCTGAGCTCTAGGCATCCACTCCTTAAGGACAGCCGCTGCCACCTCCCCCTTGCTCTTCAAAGGGTAAACCCACACTGCCCGAGTGTGGTCATCCACAATTGTCAAGAAATAGCGGCTGCCTGAGAGGGAAGGGGCTCTTGTGGGCCCCACCACATCCATGTGCACAAGTGCAAGTGGGGTCTTGGCTGGTCCTGTAGTGCTGTTGAAGGGGAACTTGGAGAACTTGGTCTCCAAGCATGTAGGGCAGCTCCCAATCTCCTTCACTCCCCCTTTCACCTCCAAGCCCTTCAGGCTCCCATCCTTCACCAACTTCTGCAGCATAGGGAAGTTCACATGACACAGCCTCTCATGCCATGTCTCCCAATCGGCCTCTCCACTCCTTGATGAAGCCTTAGCCCATGCCGCACTCGCATCCACACCAGCAAGCACCTCACCATGTGTCTGCTGCTGCTGCACTTTCTTGACTGCTTCCAGGACCCCATCAGTTGGTGCAGTTGCATCTCCTCCTGCTGTTGCCTTTGCCGCTGCTGCCGTTGCTGCTGTTGGAGTCTTCCCATTCCATGGGATGATGGGCAGCTGCCACAGGTCCTTGATGCAGCTGGTCTCCTCTTCCAGACTCCACAGCACCTTCTTCCCAAGCTTAGCACGGCAGCTGGTTGGTCCAAAGGTCACTTCGGCCTTACTCTTCTGCAGTCGCCGCACAGAGAGAAGGTTAGCAGACAAGCCTTTAACCAGCAGAACATTCCCAAGCCCCACAAGCTCCCCATTAGCTCCCTTAACCTTGGCATTCCCAACACCAATCACGGGGAGCAAAGCACCTGACGCTGCTGCCACATACTTAATCTTCCCAGGGGGTTTTACCTCATCAAGCAAATCTGCCCGTGGAGTCATGTGACTGGTGCAACCCGAATCAATCACCCAGTGCGTGAGAGGGTGCATCACAACCTTTCCCACAGATCCCACATCACCCTCATGCCCATGCACATCCTCAACCATAACAAACAAACCAGGATAGGCATTACCTTGTGCACCTTCACCTTGTGCACCTGAGCCTTGCACAGCGCCACCTTGTGCGCGTTCACCACTGGGCGGCTTCATGCCTGGAGGTGCCCATCCCTCCAGCCTGCTGAAGCACTTGAACCAAGGATGCCCAACCTTCTTGCAGTACCAGCACGTGCCCTCCATTCTGGTACTCCCCCTGCCACTAGAGCTCCCATGCCCCTCATTATAGTCACCTCGGCCTCTACCTCTGCCAAAGCTCCTCCCACGGCCTCGGCCTTTCCAACCCCCTCTTCCTCTGCTGCGCCCTGCAGCTCCATACCCCTCAGCAGTCTTAGTGGCAGCACCGCCTCCCACATGGCGTCTGCGGAAGTCCTCCTGCAGAATCTGCTGCCTTAGCCACTCAGGTGTCCATTGATCTTGCTGAGAGTTGAGGGTGGGGATGAGGTTGTCCCAAGAGTTGTCCAACACCGAGATGATCTTGGTGCACTGCTGCAGCTGAGATACACTGCTGCCCGCTGCTGCCATCCTTGCATAGGTGTCCTTGATCTTGTCAAGGACCGGCTTCACATCGTCCCCTGGTCGCATGGAGATGGCAGCAAGTTCCTTCTCGAGCACGATCACCATCGGGAGAGTGTTGGGCTGAACCACATCACGTAGTAGTTTCCACGCCCTTGGACCCGAATCATCCGCTTCCACAAGATCCTTGATGTGCTCGAACATCTCCTTGTTGACCGATTGAAGAATGAGGTCGAAAAGCACCGCGCTTTTCTCAATCCACCGTTCACGTGCTTCGCCTTCTTCCGGCATCTTCTCTTCCCCAACAGCAATCTTCAGGAGCTTGTAGCGTTTGAAGGCACTCCTCATCCGTCCGCTCCATTCCTCATAGTTGGAGCCATCCAAAGCTTCAACTTTTGATGGCGGCGGCTCACTTGTCTTCTCAGCTACAGCTCCTCTTCCATTAGCATCTCCTCCTCTCTCATTCATCTTCTCCTTGAGAAATGACGAATTTCAGCTCCCCTTTGCTGTCCACACTCAGCTCCCTCGATATTTTCACAAGTGTCGGCGTCCACGAAATTTCGGCAGAGTTTCCCCTTAGCGGAAGACACATCCAACCTTTAGAACACCACTTAGGCACACCCACAGGCCATGGTGGGTCTAGAAGGGTCTTCACACTTCTGTAGACTCCTCTCAATGTCCTTAATATCGCTCTGATACCACTTGTTAGGATTAAGGACAGAGTCTAGGTGAACTTAGGAGCTAGAATTACTCAAAATATAAATCCGAAATTCTGGACAGAAAAGTCGTCTTCACAAGAAACGACGTCGACAAAACACTAGCCGTTGGAATGTCGCGAAACTTGGATATGTTGTAGCTCTTGATCTCAGCTACCGTTCCCAATTTGAATCACGTTGATTGATGAAGTATTCGCGACGCTATGGCTTTCGACGCACTAGGGGGTAAGCTGTAGGAGGAGAACTTAACTCAATCTCAAGAGTTCAATCAAAGTTCAAGAATCTCACAAGGAATTTGAGGAGCAAGAGAAAGGTTGGGATAGAAAGAGAGGGACGAGAGGGAAGGTCCCAAGAGAGTCCCCAACCAAGGAAACCCCATAAGCACAAAGATTCCCTCCCTATAGGAACCTCAACTTTGACCTTTGTCCCTTCCCAACCAATCCATCCAAGTTGGCCACCCTTGCCAACCTAGCTTGGTTGTTCCCAACCAATTTGCAGCTGTTACAGTAGAGTGACAAATTTCCCCAACCCCAAAGGTCCCAACTCCATATAGAGTCACCCCACAACTTCACTTTGTAACCGCCGCAATTGTAACGCAAGCTCATGAACTTTGAATCTTCATAGCTTTCGCGTTCTTGCTCCGATTGAAGCGATTCTTGTTGCGTCGGAAAGATCTTCTCAAGATCTATCATCAAAATACCTGCTCAAACAAAA